CCACTTAGCATAACATAAAGAGAAACAAGCAGCAAATACTGGTAATATCTGGTAGAAAGTGAATTCAGTTAGCAAAACTTATTTATGTATAATATTTATGGGATATCCCTCGTGGTCCAGTGGCTAAGATCCCATGCTCCCAAATAGTGGGCCTGGGTTCGATCCCTGGTCAGGGAACTAAGATCACACATACTGCTTTTTACTGTTCTCTTAGTAAAAGCAACAGCCTTGATCAACTGCTCAAGGCATTTCCACTTCTCTGTGCCTTCCTCAGCTTTCCTACCATGGGAATGAAGCTGGCTCTGGCTGAGAATTTTTTCCTTAGATTGTCTACAGGCACAGTTCAGAAGAGATCATCATCTTGATATTGTGACTAGGAAAACACTCTTAGCTAATTTTTTGCTTTGATAAAAATTGGCAGGTAGACATTATGTTATTTCTAAAAAAGAGAGTCCAACATTAGTATTGTTTCCTTATGTGGTTAATTAAACAACAAAGCAAAAACACATATTGCATTTACCCCATAACTAGCCACATTCAGTGACTTTGTTTTAGCTAGTCATATCATTGACTATTTAAAAATAAAAGTACACAAGTAAAAGAGGAGTGCACTATGTCAGATCATAAATTTATAGCTTATTTTAAAAACTTGATGCTAAAATTTGGTCATGCTAATGGTTAAAAACAGCATTTTGAAAAGTGAAAATCATTTCACCTTTTTTTTTAAAAAAAAAAGCTCCACCTTAATTCTTTAAGTTAAAAAAAAAAAGAAAAACAAAAAGTGACCCAAGATCACAGGATTCCTTGTTTGTTGAATTTTTTAAATAATTTAGGGAAAAGGGATATATTAGTCAAGATTTTGTCTTTAAATAGTTTCCTTTGGAAAACATCAACACTTAAATATTTAAAAAGCGATTAACCACTTGCAAGAGACTGAAAACATCCCAGGTATGTGTGTTCCCAAAACATACATTTTCCAATTGAGACTTTTAAACTGTCAATGCCCGAGAGACAATGCCATTGATGTGTACCTGGCACTAGTTCTGCCAGTTAATTTCTTCCCCAGAGAGTAGTTTTGGGCGACAGAGTGGCGTCCTGGCTTCCCAGGTTGTTGCATTGACAAACTGCAGTGGGGTAAAGTCAAGAAGCCTGACAAAATCTCATTAATCATTTTAAATTAAATCCAACCCTCCTGTCCGAGCAGGCCAAGAAGAAAGTCATTTTTTTTTTTAAACAAATGAAAATTTCCTCCGTAAAGATTTGGTATCTTTCTCTTGTTGGTCTTTAATTTGATGAGACAAAAATAAAACAAAACAATCCACTTTTCTAAGCTTGAAAACAAAACATTTATCCAGATATGATTTAACAGATCAACCAAGTGTCTTTTAAAAATAAAACAAGCTTTGAATGAAAAATGCATGGAAACATTATGAAGGGAAACTCTACTAGCCAAATTAGGAACACTCTATCATTTTCTGAATACTTTAAAGAATTTATTTTGTTCTGTCTAAAATACATGACCATTAAGAACATTTGAAAGAAGAAATTTTAAAAATTTCATTATCCATACTATTTTGGTAAATTGTGTGCCAATCTGTTCTTTTCAGTCATAGGCTTTTGCTTTGTTTTACATACTAATTGTAATGTGTGTGTTTATATGTAATTCAATATCCTTTTAAATATTTACCATAATTTACAACTGCTAACACATTATTAACATCATGGCATCATAGTTATGAGGATGTGTTCTGGTCTACTTGACCAGTCCTTAGTTTCTGGTGTCTAGTATAAACTCAAATATTTATTATTTGTTAGAACAGCCCCAAGTTTGGGGCATTCCAAATTGTTACTTTTCCTTTTGTATTAAAACATTGATGTGACGAAGACTATACCTACTGCCCTTCCTCTATTTTGGATTATTTCCCTAGGATGGTTTCCTGAAGCAGACATATTCACTTACAATGCTTGAAAAGAAACCACAGCCAGTTCATTACATTATTAATAGTAATATTTAAGAAAATGTTCACTAGAACAGTATATAGGTTGAATCTGCATTATTTTAACTCTAATACATCCTGATTTGTAAAATGGGTATACCTGAAAGGTCTGGATGTATTTTTTTGAAATGCAAACAGTAAAGCCATCTTTCTGTATACTTAGATAGAAACTAAACCAGGGTTAGAATAATACAATTTTGGGTTTATTGAGAAACTGCTTCCAGGCCAAGGTCTATGTTAGGTATTGAGGGAGATCTAAGAATACAATTCCCACCTGCAAGAATTGAGAAAGCTGCCCTGGAGGCAAAAAGTATGAGGGGACTTTGAAGGGCAAATAACATCTAAACAGGTAAATAGTGAGGGATTACAAGCTTTCCAGAGAGAAAGTAGTACAGATGAGATTAGAGATTGTTAGCTTGGACAGAATAATGTTAGTTAGAAAAAAAACCCTGTTGATGGAGGTAAATTTGGAGGGCTCTAAAAGTTTTCAAGCATATTCTCCCTTTGCTTTTCTTAATATAGCTTGTACTGTATGTTAAAGTGTAAGTGGTGATGGTGTATAGGAGGGAGGCACGAGCAGCACATAGTTGGTATGGTGTATTCTGGGCTTGAAACAGCAGAGCCCTTACTGGGAAGGAAAGTGTAGACAGGTCTGAGTTGCAGAGGACCATTAGTACTGTTATGGGTTTCAGCAGAGTTCAGATTACACACTGCACAAGGAGGTATTTGGCCAGAGACAATATAAAAGCCATTAGCACTACCATTATTTTCTAGCTCAAAGAAATGAGCCACAAGTGGAGAAGGTATACTCAAAAAAGGCCTGAGTGTAAATGGAAAAACAAATCTACTTGGGCTGCAGCACATGCAAAGCTCAGCATCCTTCTTGAATCCCTAGCTCTTGGGATTCCATCATTCCCTGGTCCTTCTACAGTTTTTACAAACCTTTGTTTTCGGACTTCATGCTTCACCTTGTATGCTGCTGCTGCTGCTGCTAAGTTGCTTCAGTAGTGTCCGACTCTGTGCGACCCCATAGACGGCAGACCACCAGGCTACCCTGTCCCTGGGATTCTCCAGACAAGAACACTGGAGTGGGTTGCCATTTCCTTCTCCAATGCATGAAAGTGAAAAGTGAAAGTGAAGTCGCTCAGTCGTGTCTGACTCTTAGCGACCCCATGGACTGCAGCCTACCAGGCTCCTCCGTCCATGGGATTTTCCAGGCAAGAGTACTGGAGTAGCATACTCCAAATTCTAATCACCCTCAAACTTACATATCTAGTCTTATTCTTTAGCTTCAATGTTCTATTGATACTTTCAAATTCAAGACATCCCCAAATTAGAATCATTATCTTTTTCACTTCATTCCACTGGTTGCTTTTCCTACTAGTTACCTTTGATAATAGAATAAGCAGATCCTCATATTAGAAACTTATCTTCCAAATCACTAAATCCTATCAATTTTCAGTTGTGTGTTTTTAAAAACTTTTTCTTCCTCACTAATTCCTCTACCACTTGCCTAGTTCAAGCCTTAGAACAGAATCTAACAGAATAGACAGATTAGCAGTAATCCTTGACATTAGTAAGACTACAGTTTGATAGAGAAGTTAGACATGTAGAAAATTAATTAACACCAGTGGTATATATTATATGATAGAGACAGTCTTTTATAGCTTTGACCAATAAATTATATTTGAAGTGGATCTTAGATGATAGTAGGGGGACCTTAGATACAAAAAAGGGTTAAGGATATCACAGAAAGAACAGCTTGTAAAAAGACAGATATGGGTTTGGTTTACATGGATGAGGCATTTATAAAGACATTTATTAGAATTATTTTGTCGTGGAATTAAAAATTACATACGTGTGAAACATAATTAGATATTTGCTTTGGAATCTTAAGAAATTGTGTGTGTGTGTGTGTGCTCAGTCGTGCTCCTGTGATTTCATGGACTGTAGCCTGCCAGGCTCCTTTGTCCATGGGATTTTCCAGGCAAGAATACTGGAGTGGGTTCCCATTTCCTTCCCGAGGGGATCTTCTTGACTCAGGGATCAAACCCAAGTCTCTTGCATTGGCAGGTTCTTAACCATTGTGCTACCTGGGAAGACCCTACAAATTGTTTGCTACCAGCCTAAAAGTCCCTTAGCACATGGAAGGCCCTTGATAAATATTTACTGAATGAGCGAATAAAGACAGTTTACTATCATTCGAAAGATTCCTTTCCCAGATGATTCTGAGCTGAAATCATCACAATTAGAAAGTAAGGTCTGACTAATTACTTTGGATATAAGTTCTAATAGCATTTTGTTCTTATGTGTGAAAACCTTAGATTTTAATGTGTTTTGCTACGGGTTAAAGGACTTCAGACTTAACTAAGGCAGAAATTTAAAAAATGAAGTCAGATGATGAATTTATGTTGTAAAAATAAGTGCCTGTTTTGCATAGAGACAAATATACTCTTCAAAGACTGGAAAGAGAAGCTGGTATCGGTTTCTATCCAGGTTAGATGCAAGTTTTATGAAGACAGTCATAATTTCTTATCAAAAAAATTTCAGAACTCAGCTTGAGAGAAAAAGGAAAGGCTTTAGTCAAAATCTTTACAATAAAATAATTATGATTATAAATTTTTAGTTAAATATGTACATATTACATGGTATTTTAAAAAAGAATGGAAATGAATAAAGTTTCAGGCAAAATCTAATGCACAAATATACCATCTTTTTTAGAGTATAATGTCAGTTTAACATTCTTAAACAGCTGTGTCAGACAATGGCTCTGCTTTGTGCAAAACATGATAAGCAAAATTAAGAAAAATTCTGCAGAATTCTTTAGTTCCCCAAAGAAGTCACTAAAAAAGAAAAGAGTAAAAGGAAAAAGGTTGTACACTCAAGCTTGATTGTATACAGAGGCTAGAATGACCAGCGCTAATGTCACCCCCATATCTGCTAAATAGGTCCTTGGATAGCTTTAGTTTGCAGTTAAAAGCTGAAGTCCCAGCAATTGTGCTTTTATGCAGCCACATGGCCAATAAGGTAGATGTTGTCATAAAGGTGCCCCACGAAATCTTCACTAATGTTTTGAGCAGCACGCCGGGTGTTTCGAATAAATTCTCTTTTTGACATTTTATTCTTCACATGAGGGCTAGTGAGGTCAATGGAAAGTAGAATCAAAGAGTAGCACAGTACATAGACAGCATCTGGAAGGAAAAAGAAACACCTCCAATTATTAGATGGTTATTAAACAGCGGTCCCAAAGGAAAAAGTGTTCATAATTCCAAAAGATTAGATTAAAATTAAAGAGAACTGCCTGGGCCTTTTCCAATTTGGTGATGAAAGTCTTGTGTCCTAGAAAACTCGTCTCCTGGGCAAACAGGGATGTCAATTATCCAAACACCAATTCACTGAGCATTTTCTTCAAATAATTTAGGAATTTTTAGTGAAAAGTCATTCTAAATTTAAAAATTTGAGAATTGGCTTTATTTTCCTCTTGCTTTCAAATGTGATATTCCCATTCAACTACCCGTAAAACATATTTGTATTCTGTTTATCCTATTAAAACAAAGTAAGATATTTATTTACATATGCTTTTACAGAAACCTAATTTAATTTGGAAGCATTGTATATAACAAGAAAATGTATTAACTTGGTACTAGAAAATAAAATGTAAACACCTCATAAAATTATTCTTCTTCTAATTTAGATACGTAGAAAAGGTTTAAAAAAATTCTATGGAATTTACATATTAATCTCAAACGTGAATCTTTAGATTGCTAAACATGAGCCCATGCAACAAAAAATTTTCTTCTCTATATATTTTCAGGGCAATAGTTGATGCTTATTGTTATCCTCATGATACTTGCCACAACTACTTACTACTACTACTATGGTGTTTATTTTTCAGAATCTTGAAAGTCTTAATAAAGACTGCCTTGCACAAGCATGTTCAACAAATTTCTTATGCAAGGAAAAGGTTTGGTAATCTCTGTAATAAGATATGAAAAACATTCTTGACAGGAAGAAAGAAATAAAGCTGCATCACATGAAAAAATACATAAGTGACTCAGGCTACATCATGCACACATATACATACACACAAACAGTGAAAACTAGTTATATAAAAAATACAATTTAGTAGAAAAATTCTAGGTGTTACTATGTAATATGTGTATTATGAAAAGCTTTAAAAATAATTTCTCAAGATTTTGATTAGACTAGTACAAATTTCCAATGCTTAAGTAAGAATTAACATTCCTAAGTATAACTTTCCTCCTAAAACAGTATATTTACTACATGTAAATAATAGCTTTGACAAACTAGTTACTGCTAGAAGCAATGAAACAAGTATTTGTAATTATGGGAAGCATTTTTCCCCAGAGTGAGGAAAATGTCTCATTTACTACTATTTTTACCCGGAGATGGGAATGGGAAAAGGAAGGAATTCACTATACATACTCTTACCAGGACTAAGGCCAAGTTCTCTCATTAAATCAGGGTTACAAGCACAGAATCTATGTGAGAACTTTGTTATAAGTGTTTCAAGATACTCCCCACGCTCTTCAGGGGCATGGATGTGACGAAAAAATTCTCTCAGTGCATTGGGCAAGAATTGATTTCTAAAGTTATGCAGCGTTACAAGGTCATCCAAGACATCTCTCCTAGTAGAAAAAGAAAAAAGTACAGCTTTAGTTACCTTTTCTCTATTTAAAAAAGATGGGAAAAATCATAGATTATTTACTTTTTGGATGAAAATACTTTACTATTTATTACCAGTCTTATAAAGCATATATGTCTTAAAAGTTAAAAAAAAATCAAAGTATGATTATCAAGTTAAACAATTTAAAAAAATCTTTCATGAATAGAACAAAAAACAAGGTGCAACTAGAAATTTTAATTCTGAAATGAAAAAATGAATTTTTCAGAATTAAAAATAGTAACTTCTTTTCAAGAATCTTCTTGGTTAAATCCATAGGATCAACAAAATTCTTTACCTTTTTAATTCTGAAAATAAGGAGAATCTACACTTTCCATACCAATCCACATTGCCAGAGGTAACAACTGCTGATGTGAAGCTTTTTAAAGTGTCTATCTATACCCTGTATTGTTCTAGAATCTGCTTTTGCTTATTTCATATAGTATAATATGAACAGCTTTCTGTGTTTTTGCACATGGATCTAACTCATTCATTGTAATGGCTCCACAGTATCCCATCTTAAGGACATAATTCTAATGAAATACATTTAGGTTGTTTATGATTTGTGTACATATGTGCATATATACTTATTATCAATAGCATTCCAATAATAATGCTTTGGGGTTCCCTGGTGGCTCAGATGATAAAGAATCTGCCTGCAATGCAGGAGACCTGGGTTCAACCCTTTGGTTGGGAAGCTCCCCTGGAGGAGGGCATGGCAACCCACTCCAGTATTCTTGCCTGGAGAATCCCCATGGACAGAGGAGCCTGGTGGGCTACAGTCCATGGGGTCACAAAGAGTCAGACATGACTGACTAAGCACAGCACAATGCTTTGTTACACTATGCTTCAATCCTTACTAAACTCAACAACGATTATATGATCATAATCTTAATTTCTACCAGTTGCTTACGGCAGGGACAGGCAAACTACAGCTAGTGGGCCAAATACTACAGAGGCCCATGGGTTGTTGTTATAAATAAAGCTTTATTAGAACACAACTTTTCTCATTTGTTTACTTATTGTCCATGTCTGCTTTGATGACACAATGGCATAATTATAAGTAGCTGCAACAGAGATCATATGTCCTTCAAAGTCTAAAATATTTACAGAAAAATCAGATTTTTTACCAAAAAAACCTGCCAATTCATAGGTACCTAGCACTTCAGGACAAAAAGAGTTAATTATACCATCTTTATGTAAGAAATTTTTTTCAGTGACCAATATGCTGAACTGTGTACCCCTCAAGGCTAGGGATTATGTTTTAATCAACTGCATACTGCAAATTCTAGCAAAGTTCCTGGCATATAATAAATACAAATTGTTGGAAAATCCTGAGAAATTTTAAAAAAACGAGAATCACAATGAAAAGGCAAACCTATTTTTGAAACATTCCTTAGATTACTATGAGATCTATAATTTTTAAAATCATAGTTTATGGTGATATCACATCAAAATATTTCCACAATATTTTTATGTCCTTGATACCCAGAATTCAAGAGTACAAGTGAATAACTATCAAGTCAGGACAGCATATCAGACACTGTCTCTGGAGAGCACACTATTAAATCATACTTCTCAAATTTTCAAACTTTTAGATAACACTTTTCGTGTACTGTATCACAAATATACACATCTTATACTTCTAGGATTTGTGTTTATGAGTACAATTTGTCTATTTGATTTTTATATGAGCAATTTCAAAATTCAGAACTTTTAGCTACCGAACACTTCTTAGGGCTAGTTACTAAGGAAAAAAGACTTCGACCTTCTCAAAAATATTTGGTTTTGGTTAGCTATCACAAAGATGTTAGACTTCTTGGGCCTTTTTTTTTTTTTTTAAATTTTACAACAGTAAACAATAAACTTACACGCAAGTTCAAGTTCACAAGAGTAATGATTTGCAAGGCACAGGAATCTTTTCCCTGTCTTCACTCAATTTTACAACTAGATGACTATAATTTTTAAAGTAAAAGTTAACTAATTAAAAGCATACCTCAACTCATTTCTCATGAAAAATTAAATTTCTTTTTTACCTTTCATCAAGATAAATTCTCAGTTTTTTCCAATTTAGTGTCCTTGTACAGAAGATAAACTTTGCTATTTCCTTTGGTGAATCATCAAGGATGCCCTTGGACATAAAGTAGTTCACTCCCTAAGACAGAAAGACAAGTCTACATAAATAAAATCAGTCTTCATTTATAAATTTAACAATTAGGCAATAGCAAAACAATAGCTATAGAGTCTTTCCAGCATCAACAGACTGTTTATAGCTTTCACATGCAAAATACAAGCTAGAACTTGAACTGACACTATTATTTATGGTTGATAGTTTACATGCAATGAAAAGTAGGAAATTCAAAGTTAAGACTTCTAAAGTAAGTCTGATTCAATTTTCTGACTCATGTCAATTAAAAAAAGTATCCAGAAATATCACCTAAACTGGGTTACGGGTAGGGGTAATGAATAACTATTACATAGACTTTAAAAATAAGCCTTATAATGAAAACTTCAATTGCCTAATTGAAAACATGAAGTTGCAGATATACATTCTAACACACTTTTCAAGGAAACAGATTCTTGAGAAAAAAGGATTCTCCAAATCACAGACTAGCATTTTTTTAGGGGTAGGGGTGGGGAAGAATAATAAGTTATTTAACTTAAAGTAAAATGGGCAGAATTCTAGACTAGTTTATGGGTTGTATATAGTTTGGCTTTAAGTATTGTTATGTTCTATAAGAATTTGGCTCTAATACACAATGAGGCAAAACACAGTAAGACAAAACAATTTCAGTGTTTTTCATAGGGTTTATCTTTGAATTTCCTTTTCTATGCATGCAAAGTTTTCCAGAGAAGCATCATCTATAAGGTTGTGCCCTACTTTAGATTTAAACCAACAACAACAACACAGCAACAACAAAAAAATCAAACACTGAAACCAATGTTTTCTCATGTATATGAAGGTCACATTCAAATAAATGTCTTATGTGGATTTGAATGTGCAGTTATTGAAATAAAAGGCAGGTGTGTTTATTTCAACTCACAGTTATCCAGATACATGCATTCCCATGAATGCTCATGTCTGGATAATAGCACAATGTGTGCAGTTAATTGGTAGAGAAAATGACATATTATATACACGTAACATACTGTTTTCACACATAAATTCCTTCAGCATTTCTTCCCTTTACAAACAATGACACAGTACTCAGAAACACTGCATATATTAGGAATTCTAAGAGTTGGACGAATTTTTATAAAAACTCCCATAAAAATTTTATATTACATTTTTAGAGCAATTTGGTACCATGAGGTTATGCTTTTGAAAGGTTATAATTATCTATAGAATGTAATTCAAAAAGATAAGATTTTTATACAAAATTAATTTTATGAGCCATCAAGATAATAGAATATTAGCAATGTCATCAAATTTTCATGAGAATTTTAAAAGTGTAAAAACAATCCTAAAGCACTGATTTTAAAAAGCACTGACTTTAAAAAGAACAAAATGTGAGAACATGTGACTCTGTCAACTCAGTGGGAAGCCATCTTTCAGACTGCACTGTACCCGGATAGGAGGCTAAAAAATGTAATATGGTCAAGATGGAAAGGAAAGCCAAGGACCTTGTTTGCAGTAAGGCTCTCAGCAATAGCCTGAGGGGGTAGGAACCAGGGAAATAGGAATGAGTTTTCCATCCTTCCCTCCATTAGTTTGAACAATCGAGAGTTGACTGTATATTTAATTGATCTACTTAGCAAGATTAAGTCAGGTTTTATTTCTTTTCCAAAATTCATCGATTTAAAAAGTGTAACAAAATATTAGAAGTATTTCCAGTGTTTAATTTTAATCCAAGTGATTCAAAGACAAAGGAATGTCAGTTAAATAGTTATGAACAGGTTCTTTATTCACGCTTACTTGTAAATCAGTATTTAAGATACAAAACAAATTCTAATTTACTTTCTAAAAATTTACAAAATATAAAAAAACTAATGTGATCTATTAAATAGTATATAATTCTCTAATTATATGATATATGCCATTTTTAATATTGCTTGATGCTCCTCACTTATAAACAAACACTGGCATTTGCCTTATGCAAGCATCATAAAATTGTTGGTCATTTCCTTTTTCTATGGACTACATGTTTGAAAATTTAACATATAATCTCACTTGAGTTCTCCAAAATCAATTAAATGCAGAGGAGGAAGCAGATGGTTTTAAACACAATCCTGAAAACCAGCAACACAAACTTGAAATCAGCTAGCATTGTTGGTTTTGAGGATAGACAGCCTCAATTTCAAGCCTGGGATTCCTCTGGAAAGGAAGATTACTTCAGAAGGGCTATCAGAGTGAAGGGTTAAGAAATGACACAACAGAAAAAGGCACAGGGCCAGATTACAATTGTCTTCAATAAGCAAGCTGGCAACCATCCAAAACTATCTTGTTTTGTAAGCAATAAATACAAAAGAAACTACAGCATGAACTGTTGAATAACTATATATTTGTTTAATACATGTATAAGTATTGTTGATTTTTAAATAAAGTATTAGAAGAATGTTACAGAAGAATCCCTAGACCATACTGGAGGTGTTGTCTAGTCACTAAGTTGCGACCCCATGAGCTGCAGCATGCAGACTTCCCTGTCCTTCACTATCTCCCAGAGTTTGCTCAGACTCATGTTTATTGAGTTGGTGATTGCTTTCCAATCATCTCATTCTCTGTTGCCCCCTTTTCCTCTTGCCCTCAATCTTTTCCAGCATCAGAATCTTTTCCAGTGAGTCAGCTCTTCGCATCAGGTGGCCAAAGAATTGGAGCTTCAACTTCAGAATGGTGCTGAAATCACTCAAAAGGGTTGATTTCCTTTAGGATTGACTGGTTTGGTCTCCTTGCTGTCCAAAGGATGCCACCACCAAGCATCTTCTCCAGCACCACAGTTCAGAAGCATCAATTATTTGGTACTCAGCTGTCTTTATAGTCCAACTCTCACAACTGTACATGACTACTGCAAAAACCATTGCTTTGACTAGACGGACCTTTGTTGGCAAAGTAATGTCTCTGCTTTTTAATATGCTATCTAGGTTTGTCATAGCTATTCTTCCAAGGAGCAAGAGTCTTTTAATTTTGTGGCTGCAGTCACCATCCGCAGTGATTTTGGAGCCCAAGAAAATGAAATCTGACACTGTTTCCACATTTTCCCCATCTATTTGCCACGAAGTTATGGGACCGGATGCCATGATCTTCATTTTTTGAATGCTGAGTTCTAAGCCAGCTTTTTCACTCTTCTCTTTCACCTTCATCAAGAGGCTCTTTAGTTCCTCTTAGCTTTCTGCCATAAGAGTGGTGTCATCTGTGTATCTGAGGTTATTGATATTTCTCCCGGCACTCTTGATTCCAGCTTGTGCTTCTTCCAGCCCAGCGTTTCTCATGATGTACTCTGCATAGAAGTTAAACAAGCAGGGTGACAATATACAGCCTTGATGTTCTCCTTTCCCAATTTTGAACCAGTCTGTTGTTCCATGTCAGCAACCAATCTGTTGCTTCCTGAATACAGGTTTCTCAGATAGCAGGTAATGTGGAGCATTCCATGGACAGATGAATATGCTAGACCTTATAGCATTAATGATAGTTATTAATCAGGAATAGAACTCTCAGCAGTATAGATATGTGCTTCTGTGTGTGTGTGTCTTATAGGTAGCAAGGAAATCATGACCCAATACTAGTTTAAATTAACATAGTTTCCAGAAAAAGGAAGGGTGTAGCTCATTATCATCTACATGATATAGTAAAATAAGTGTCCAATTCTGGATGTTGCATTTTATGGGACATATTGACAAACTAGAACCATCTGAATAAAGGAAACCAGGGTCTGAGTGTGTTGTTGGAAAGTTAGACTTTATTATATAAGGCAGAACCAAGGGAGAGAGAGACATTAGGTCTAAAGATGAAGCTATTTAGGAAAGAAGAAAAGATTAAGACATTGAGACATCTGAAGAGGTTAAGACTTGTGACATCTGTGTCAGAAAGAAAATAAACACTGTGTGTGGTTTGAGGGAAGACTTTAAACTGATGAAACTTAGAACTTCTTGCCCCCAAAAATGCATACTGCCAGGTTTTCAGTGATAGAAATTAACAAGTATCAGAGTTTCAGTCTAAGAATATATAAAATAGTGACTTTCAAGGGGTCCCATTTCACATAGTAATGGGAAAAGTAGAAAACTAAGGCATGAGCAAAGTGAGAAAACTGAACTGACTTAGTGTATTAGTATGTGTGTCTGTGTGTGTGTTAGCCGCTCAGTCATCCAGCCCTTTGTGACCCCATGGATTTCAGCCCATCAGGTTCCTCTGTCTATGGAATTCTCCAGATAAGAATACTGGAGTGGGTTACCATAGGAGAAAAAAATGGCAAAATTAATGGCAAAAAAGTAAGAGAACATAATTGGAGCTGCAAGTAGAGGAGAACAGGGGAAGGATCAAAAATACACGTGGGGTCTAAGACACTTCCTCAGCCTGGAGGACAGGATGGCTGTACTTGTTCAGAGACAGATGTTTGGAGAAAGCGTTAAAAGACAAAAACAGAGTGTACGTTGGTTTTCTTTTTAGGGAAGATAAGCCATCCAGAAAGAGCTGGACAAGAGCAAACTCTTGGCTCCTCGAGCAAAATGGTAAAGATTTCTATCAACAGTGGTGAAGGGTATAACAGGAAATCCATTACGAATAAACAAAAGGAATGGTAAGCATCAATGAAAACCCAAGAGAAATTAAGGTGAATTCATCTTATCTCATGTCAAAGATTTAAATAGAATACATACTTTCAGTGATTCAAAGATTAAAAAAAAAATCAAGAAATTCTGTAAAGCATTCTCCATGGAGTATGTCACTAAAATTTATTATGCAAATTATGCATTATTATTATGCACCAAGACTTAATCTAATTAGAGTGGTAAGTCGTTTAGACATAAGGTTTATTTAGGTGGCAAACACAAATAAGTCAAGAAAACATATACAAATAGCTAAAACCAATATTAAGAAGGAATTCAGAGTGAAGAATGACATGTTGAAGCTCAGTCCCCTACACAATGCATCTCCCCATTTTCTTATAAAAATGTCTCTTTCACACAGCAATTTCTGTTAAAGATATACATCCTTTCTTTTTC